GCACACTGATTATAGCGAACTACTAATAGACACTCACTTATGGCGCGTCGCGTTTGTTATATTTATAGGCGTGGGGATGTTTTCTAGAAAATTCAAATCACGTAACAATGCAAATTAAAGCATTTACGTAAACACATATATTGTTGATTCTTACTCTCGAAAATCTTCTACAACTTTGGAGAATAGGCGGGAATTTCACAATACATATCTAACACTATAAGCTAAGCATGCTTTTAAATATAAACTCAATCCAAACAAACGTTGACATTAAATAAGCATATAACAACTAATTCGTTACATCAGTGTGTTATTATTTTTTATCATAGAATTCGGTGCAACGTGTGTTATAATCCTTTTTCTTCATAGCACGCAGTGCACATAAACAAAACAGTGTCACTAATTATGTATTCAATCACGTAACATAAGTTTTTCAAATGGTCTGTACACGTGTCGGTTATGTTGTTTTCACGACAATAGTCTTTCTCGATACAAAATCAGTGTAAACACAACTTAAAACCGGTAACAGCTTAAAAACTGGAAGGTCTGCAAAATATCATTTCTTTTGTTCTTTCGTAACAAAACCATAACTTATTACTGGTTGTCAGTGTAGCTTTAGGTGTCTTAACTGAAGCCTTGTTTCAGAACAGAATATAATCTGCACTATTCTAAAACTAAGAAAAATAAAGTTTCGCTCACCTGACATTAGTGGGTGCCTCATTACAGCCCCCCCCCCCAGTAACATAGCAGCATGTCTGCGGACTTATAACGCTAGAAACCAGGTTTCGATAACCGTGGTGGGTACAGCATTGTGTAGCTTTGTGCTTAACTACCAACAAACAAAATCCTCATTACAAGGCTTTTTTCGCAACTAAGTGAATTATGTTTCTGAACATCGGTGTGTTTCATTATGATATGAAATATTATATAAAAGAGACATCATGAACAACAACGGAATATTTAAACACGAATAAAATTCCAGGTTGAAGGAAAATAGTTTTATTTTGTTTACATTTCACTCAGTATCATTACACCTGATTATACGGGTTAATTCAGTGAAATGTAACATATACATTTGTTTTTCTTCTAGCACTTAATTTTAGCAGAGATTAACTTTCAGTATGGTCCTGTTCACCAAATTAGAGCATATCACTTTATATAGTATGGTCTCCTTCGCCAACATAGAGATTTACGAGTGTACTTTGATATATTATTGTCTTACCAAGTCAAAAAAGACCTGCAAGTACTAATATTGTTTTGATTGTCAAGTTAGATAATGC